GGCATACACTCCCTTGCCGAACCTCCTACGGACCCAGCTCCAACTCGATGCGAAAACCAAGCACCTAGACCCACTCCTTGCCGAAGACAGATCAGCCCCTCACCAAAATACCTTCAAATATCTCTTGCTGATCGGCACCTCCTCTGAGCTGAACTACGGACCCAGCTCCGAGCTCCCTACCAAAGCTACTCCGTACTCCAGTCCCTCTCACCGAAGCCTGGCCCACGACCTCCCAGCTGCCATGCCAAACGGTAGGTTTCGTGCGGCAAAAATTTTGGATGTCGTGAATAAGGGTGGCGGCAGGTCTTAAGCTAATGGGGGACTTGCACCTCTTCTCCCCAAACCCTGGCCCTTTTCTCCAATCTTTGGACTCCCTTACCGAAGGTATAAAGACCCTAGCTATAAAAGCACAAGGGCCCAGCTACAAAAAGGCCCAGCTACGTTTCAAAAACGGAAGGCCCCAGCCTCTAAAAATCCAGATCTACCCTCAAAACCCTAGCCACCAACTGGGTCAAGGAGGCTTGCCGAAGCCCAGCTTTGGAACCTGGCCCCAAATGCCTTGCCGAAGCCCAACTAGAGCCCAGCCCCCAGCTCTACACCTTAGCCACACGGGGCCCAAGCCAAACCTTGAGATAAATCATGGGTGGGCTGAAAAAAAAAAAGAAAAAAGAAAAAAAGAAAAAGGGTTCCTTGCAGAACGGCAAGGGCCATATGGAAGGAAAGTAAGGCCTCACTAAGGCCATTGGCTCCTGCCGAAGCCCAAGGGTGACTCCTCGAAGCGGCGCTGACAAAGCCCAGCTACAATTCCAAATGTTGACGCAACTTCTAGTTTGCCAACTTTTTACCAAACGAACACTCGGACCCCTATGGACCCAGCTCGTAAAGTGCTCCCCAAGACACCGTTGCCGAATCTGGAAGCCCCCAGCCCCTGCCGAAGGTACTTAGGCCCTAGAGAAAGTCATTGCCACTGGACCATGGCGAAGGACAAGGCCCATGATCAGGCCATGGCTTACATCGCGCAAATTTCTCTTGCCTAACCCCTTGCAGCCTAGCTCCACAGAGCACAAACCCCAGGCCTTTGCCAAAACCCAGCTCATGAGGCCCACCTACCAAGAACTTGGAAACTTGCGACATCAAGCCCCCCATTCTTCCTGCCGAAGCCTTGAAGGCCCAACTCCAAGGACATGCCAAATGTCCACAAGGTACACAAATTTATGAAACTAATAATAACAAATGCACACTTGCATTCTTCCCTTTAGCACCCTTGTGCCTTTGGCAACGCCTTACGCCTTCGGCACCCTTGTGTTTGGCCACATTGCCTTGCGACACGCAAGCTTTGTGTCGCCTTCGGCACCCTTGTGCCTGCCCACATCGCCTTGCGACACGCAAGCTTTGTAACGCCTTCGGCACCCAAGTACCTAGCTACATTGCCTTGCGACATGCAAGCTTTGTGTCGCCTTCGGCACCCAAGTGCCTAGCCGCATTGCCTTGTGACACGCAAGCTTTGTGTCGCCTTCGGCACCCTTGTGCCTGGCCACATCGCCTTGCGACACGCAAGCTTTGTGACGCCTTCGGCACCCAAGTGCCTGGCCACATCGCCTTGCGACACGCAAGCTTTGTGTCGCCTTCGGCACCCTTGTGCCTGGCCACATCTCCTTGCGACACGCAAGCTTTGTGACGCCTTCGGCACCCAAATGCCTAGCCACATCGCCTTGCAACACGCAAGCTTTACACCTTCGGCACCCTCGTGCCTAGGCACATCGCTTTGCGACATACCATGATGCCCTTTGGCACCCTCGCCCTTCAGCGTAGTGTTTTTGCTGCAACTTCTCTCCCTCAAATGTCCTTCTTACCCGGGGACTTGGGGGACTGGGGATAGTGCACTATATGACTTGGAAGACGAACTACGGTGTTGCTCGGCCAGTGCACTTAAAAATTACAAATCCCCAAGCAAGAAGTACCTTCGTACTCGCGAACTTGGGGGACTACTGTTGACACCGTAACTAACCGAGCAACTAGCTAAGCAAGATTAGCCACGTGCCATGCTTAGAGAGGTCATCACCTTCGCCAAAGAAGCCTTGCCACATGTCACCACTAGGGGCAATGTCAAGAGTCCCACATTGGAAGACTACAAGAAGTGGAGACTCCCCCTCACCTATAAAAGAAGACTGCTCTCCTCTTAGAAGAGGATCCGATCCTATCCTAGGCTGGGCTCTCTCTTCAGGACTCTCCTGCTACTCTGGCCTTCAGGTCCTAGATCTCCGGACCCGGGGACTTGACCCCTAGGCTTCAGATTCCTAGCTTTGTACCTTATGCCCTAGGCCTTCTTCCATTTATCTTTGGGTCTAATCCCCTTGTACAAATGTAAACAATATCATAATGAGAACATCTTCTCCGTGGACGTAGCCTATTCATTAAGGGTGAACCACGTATATCTTGTCTTTTATATATTTATCGCTTGGCCAAGTCCTCACATACATGCTGAAAGTCCTCACCTTCACCCATCCTCCATCACATCTCATCACTAAGTTGGACTCAATCTTGGCCCAACCATTTTGAGCATCAACAACAACAATGTCAGATTGTTTACCGCATAAGAACTACAATATATAGCAAATACCCAAAAAATAAAAAACAAGTTTGGCTCCTTATATGTAAGGAGTGATTCTTCTGTACACACTAATCACTATTTGACGCGTGTGCATATATTGGTCTTGTTGTCCCTTTGGGGATCCCATTTTTTATTTATTTTTTGTATGGGCTGAACTTTCATATATAGGCCAATGAGGAGTGACCATTTACTAGTAAGGAGCCAAGTGGTGTTCATATAGCACCTGCGAACTAAAAACTTTCGACTTTTGTACATATATATAAGGACATAGGTTTCTTTGTGAATTCTTAATCTTTTTCTTGGGCCTAGTATGGTGACCAATCAGATTTTCTATTGTTCTTATGTGCCCAAATAAAAGCACACACACTTTCATTGCTCAATATTCCTCAAAGGCACCGTAAGGCCATTGGTTTTAGTGTGGCTATTATTCTCCCCTGCTACAAATTCCAAGGGGTCTGATATGTTAGACAAGTGCTAAAAGCCAGATTATATGATACTAAATATGAGAAAGGGATGCATGCATGGTTGAGATATGAGAAATTTTATGCCTCAAAGACTCCAAAATGATCCGAGGATGCCAAGGTTGCCATTAACTTGTACTATATTATTCAGGGGTTAAATTGGCTATTAATGATACAAATTCTCTTTCACACATGTATGAATTAAAGGAGGCTTATTTTGGACGTGAGAGATGTGATTAGTAATATATATAGTCATGTGATATAAGAAATGTGGTTATCAACATGATGTGATTGTAAAAATATATGTTGCATTTGCAGTATTTAATAAACAAACAATGAGGCTTAATGTGTAGCAATATACTTGGGGTTTCATATGACATTAGACATTACTGCGCTTATCTTACCTCATCATGCTCTGGTCCTTACCATCTTCCTCTTCTTCCTCATCGTCAAAGCAACAATGATACACATGATTTGGAAAATGCTAACAATGATTACCAGAAGGTAGTAGAAGAGGCAAAGCTAACTGTTGGAGTTGACAAGTAGTCAGGGCATTAACGCGTTAGTGATATACCCCAAACGAAGGGCTAAACATCACATATGCGAATGTGATGCCCAAAAGTAAGGGTAATTATCGCTGGAAGTAGCCACCACCCACCTACCCCCTTTAATTAATGTTTGGCATCTCACCGACCCTCATTTTCAAAAAAGAAAAAGAAAACTTTGCCCATTACAGTTAATTCCCTTAAAAACTCAATCAAAACACGAAAAAAAAAAAAAATTATGCATGAAAATTTAAAGGGATTTTTATAGAAATGTTACATGAACTTATACATTAGTTTTAATTTGTCATCTTAAAGAAAAATTTAAGAGAAATATCACCTTAATTTTTCAAAATCCATGATTTGTTATTTGACTTTAACACCATCCAATTTTTCATCCATTTTTATGGGTATTTTAGTATTTCCATTTTCAATAGTTTGTAAAAATGGAAAATTCAATATAAACATCTTTTAAACAATTAAAATTGACCTTCTTCCCCTTCATCCTCTCTCTACAATGGAACAATTACCCTCCACATAGAAATTTTCTCAGCCCACCCAAACAAGGGCGAAACTAGGAATTTATATAGGGCTGAAGTAAATTTTTTTTCTCTCGCTTCTTCTATATTATAATAGATTGTTTATACCACACATGATCAAGCCCACTTCGGACCACAAGGCCCAATTAGCCCAACTAGCCCAATAAGCACATAAAGTGCCTTCTGCCACGAAGTACCTTCATCTCGGAAAAGGTGCTACAAGGCAGATAGTGGCCAAAGACACGTGTCGGCCTCACAAGCCATACCATGAGTCCCACATCGAAAAATCACGCCAAGGTATCTCATACCCTTGCCTATAAAAAGGATGCTTGCCCTATTACGCAGGTAATGACAATTTGATCACTAAAATCATACTTGTTTATTCCACCCTTATCTTACTTAAGCTTTAAAGAGCCTATAACTGGTACCACACTGGTGTCGAAGTATTCACCTTTGTCTTCCCTTTTACAGGTCATTTCGTGTCTACCGAAGGTCCACGAGCGAACAAAGGCGCATACATTGCTAAAGGTCCCACCTTCAGCCATCAAACCCTCATATTTTATCTCTAAATTGGGTTAATCTTGCCCATCCATTTTTGAGCATCAACATAGACTATTTATCTTTGTAGTATTAATAATTACCAAAAAAATAAAAACTATTTCTATGACATTTCTACAAAAATCCCAAATGGAAATTTACATCTCCCCACTAAAGCAAAAACTACATTTACATGTCTAGAATATGTGGATGTGACATGTACATCCCAAAAATGCATCTTTGTAGTATTAATAATTCCCAAAAAATAAAATAAATGTCAGTTAATTTACTCCGTCAATTTTCCTTAGTCCGTTAGTTTTTGCCCTTCTCACTGTTCAATTTCTTCTCTTCCACTCCAACAGTGAAAATTTTCTTCCCCTTGAACCCGCTACCATGCCTGCCAATCATCATTTACAAGAAAATCAGATACTTGACTACCAGCCATTTGAGCTGGTTAGGGAGGAGCAGGATACACAATTCCTCAACAAGAATATCATGCTGTCAATGGGTTAGTTCCTCCTTTGCCACTCCATTACAGGTTTTCTTTCTAGAGACAGAGATCATAGTGGTTGCTAATAAATTCCCACATTTGGCATTTCTTTCAATTTTTCTAATAATTCAATTTCTGGAAGTTCTGCCCTTTTCTTAATTCCCATCCAAAATTATTTTGATCATCCAATCTTTCTTTGTTTTGAATCAAATTTTGTAGGGTTTTTATTTAGGATGGGTTCCAGACCAGAGTAATATTTCTGATTATTTCAGTGACACGTCCAACAATGGTTTTTCTAGAGTTGCTCAAAACGGTGTGTTAACAGCTCCGAATGGTGAATTATGTGCACATGTTGAATATTTCCACATAACTTAAGGTAGCTTCTTCTTGAATAAGTCTCCCGTCGCAGTCGTATTTGATGGTTGCTGAAACAATGTGGATATTGACTTTCATCATTATATATGTATAATTTCATTATTATCCCTCCTTTCCTATTGGCATATAATATTGGATTTTTCATGCCTTTCAATTACAAACTGAAAAGTATAAGTTCTTCATCCATTCATTTTAAGTAGAGATTTTATCGTAATGGCTGCTTCCAAGGATGCTTGTTCCTCCTCTTACCGGTGCAGCTATCATGCATTCTTGAGTTTCAGGGGCGAAGATACACGCAAGGGCTTTACTGATCACCTCTACGGGGCTTTGGAGCTGGCAGGAATCCACACTTTTAGAGATGATGATGAGATTGAGAGAGGATCAAATATTGCAGCAGAGCTTCAGAAGGCGATACAAGAGTCACGAGTATCAATTATTGTCTTCTCCAAGGACTACGCTGCCTCGAGATGGTGCTTGGATGAACTTACAAAGATCATGGAACGTAGCAAAACTGAGGGACACATGGTTTTGCCAGTTTTCTATGCTGTGGATCCTTCCCATGTCAGGAACCAAAATGGAACTTTTGCAGAGGCATTTGCCAGACATGAAGAGCGCTTCAAGGATGAGATGTACAAGGTGGAGGAGTGGAGACGTGCACTTAGAGATGTTGCCGATCTTGGAGGAATGGTTTTAGAAAATCGGTAATTTCCCAAAATTTATCACTTTGTCACCTTTTTAATTTCAAAGTGTTAGCTTTTTTATGTGAATTTTTCACTTATCTAAACTATTTGCTAGAGATGGCCTTTTCGAAAGATTATTTTTTAAAGAATTAAAGAATTTGTCACAAAATACACACTTACTAATTGTGATTTATATATTTTGATATCCATAATTTTATAGGTATGAGTCACGGTTTATCAAAGAAATTGTGGAAAAGATTGGAAATAAATTGGATCACAGAGCATTAAACGTTGCTCCCTATGCAGTTGGAATAGATAAGCGTGTGCAAGGCCTAAACAGATGGTTGGAAGATGGATCAAATGATGTTGGTGTAGCTGTGATCTATGGGATGGGTGGAATTGGCAAGACTACCATTTCCAAATCTGCTTATAACCTAAACTTAGATAGATTTCAAGCTAGGAGCTTTCTTGCAGATGTTAGAGAAACTTCAGAACAACCAAATGGTTTGGTTCGCTTGCAAAGAAAACTTCTTTCTGATATCCAAAAGGGGAAAACAAAGAAAGTATATAACATGGATGAAGGAGTAATCAAGATCAAGCATTCTGTATGTTGCAAAAGAGTTCTTATTGTTCTTGATGATGTTGACCATTGGGACCAATTCAGTGCAGTTCTTGGAATGCGAGAATGGTTTCATCCAGGAAGTAAAATTATCATAACAACTAGACAGGAATATTTGCTAAAGGCTCATGAAGTTAGTGAAATGTTTAAGGTTCAAGAACTGAATGAGTATGAATCACTTGAGATTTTTAGTTGGCATGCCTTCGGACAAGCCCATCCCGTTGAAGGTTACATGGAGCTTTCAAGACCTGTAGTACAACACTGTGGAGGGCTTCCATTAGCTCTTCAAGTTTTGGGATCTTCTCTATCTGGAAAGAATGTAGACGTATGGCAAAGCGCAATAGAGAAGTTAGACATGATTCCTCATGGAAAAATTCAAAAATTTCTTAGAATAAGCTTTGATTCTCTAGAAGATGATCATGACAAACATTTATTCCTTCATATTGCCTGTTTCTTCATAGGAAAGGAGAAGGATTTTACAATTACAGTACTAGACAACTGTGATTTTTACACAAGGATTGGAATTCAAAATCTAGTTGATAGATGCCTTCTGAAAATTAATGGAGAAAACAAGTTGGTCATGCATCAAGTACTTAGAGACATGGGGAGGGGAATTGTTCGCGAAGAATCACCTCTGGACCCTGGAAAACGCAGTAGAGTATGGTCTAAAGATTCATCTAATATTATGAGAAAATTAACCGTAAGAAGCATGCTCTTCATATGTATGTATTCATAACTGTACTGTAAATGTGTACAACTTACTTAACCATTTGTTCTGATTTGTCAGCAGGGTACAGAAACTATTAAGGCTTTCAAGCTCCAGATTCCTATGTTCATAGAAGACGAGCCTTCAAAGACAATATGTAGTGGAAGTAACAAAAAGAGATGCCATGCTGAAGATTATGATAGTAACAAAAAGAGACGTCGGCTTGGTTTCTTCTCCTGGCAATCAATTAACTTTTCCTCAACAAGTTCAGTTGTTGTATCAAATGAGGTGGACTTTAAAACAGAGGCATTTAGAAGAATGCACAATCTTGAAATTCTCTTGCTCAGTAATGTTAATATCAATGGAGGCTATGAAGATTTTCCAAAACATTTAATATGGTTATCTTGGCGTGGATTCCCTTTAAAATCAATACCAGCCAATTTTTATTTGGAAAATCTAGTTGCTCTTGAGTTGCAAAATAGCAGGCTGGAACATGTTTGGAAGGGAACCAAGGTATGATACTAATCTCTCTCTTTCTCTCTCAACAAAAAAGAAACGCACACACAGACACAGAAGTTTAGGGATTGTTACGTATTCTTAGAAACTAATTACTGCTTTTTGGAACAGTTGCTTCCAAGACTGAAAATCCTTAATCTCAGTCATTCACATAGCCTTATGACAACCCCCGACTTGTCAGGACTGTCTAACCTTGAGAGATTAAATCTTAATGGTTGCATAAATTTGGTTGAGATTGGTGAATCCATTGGAAACCTAGAGAAACTAGTGTTCTTGAATCTAAAGGACTGCAAAAATCTCATTAAGCTTCCGACAAGTATTAGCATGTTGCGATCTCTTCAGGAACTTATTCTTTCTGGTTGCTCAAAGCTAGTGCTTCATGCCAACACAACTGCCACCTCTACTGATACTGATATGAAGAAACTCGTTCTGTTATCGACTACTTCATGGCAATCAATCTGGTCGTGGTGGTCGTGGGTGTTACCAAGAAAAGTTCCTGAAAGCCGTTTCTCATTGGGAAATTTACCACATTTCTTAGGACGCTTAAGTCTGGCTTACTGCAATCTGTCAGAAGTTCCCACCGATCTTTGTATCCTATCCTCGTTGCAGTATTTGAATCTAAGCGGAAATCCAATTCTGAACCTACCAGAAAACATGAACGGTCTTATTATGCTCCAGACTCTTCTGTTAGAGAACTGCAAAGAACTGCAAACGCTTCCAGAGCTCCCACCAAATTTAAAGAGCTTGCAGGCAAGTTTTTGTACATCGTTGAAAAGAGTAACAAATGTTCCAAACAAGTTCAGATCATTGGAATTAATGTTTTACCAATGTATGATGTTAGTCGAAGTTAAGAGCTCGTTCAATATAAATCCGTTGAGAAACATTGACATAGAAATGATCCAAGAGATGGGGCTGTTCAATTTGGAGTCCATTGAAAGTGCTGAGGTGGAAATGATCAACTACTCGACAAATACAACCAGGAAGGGTCCCCTTCAGGTTCTCTCTCTCTCTCTCTCTCTCTCTCTCTCTCTCTCTCATGTATAATTATAATGATGAGTATGATTTCTGTAGCCTGTAATTGTTGAACCATATGATCTCCATGATACAGGGGCTCTATGAGTGTGGCATATTTAGCATTTTCCTTCATGGAAGCAAGATTCCAGATTGGTTCAGCTACAGGAGCATGGGCAACTTTGTGTTGTCTATTATCATACCTTCACATCTTAACCGGAAGATTCGAGGCTTAAATGCGTGTGTTGTGTATGCTCGTCATCCAGATAGGGGTCCGGGGCTTCAAAGCCAACACTTTGTTAAAGTCAGTAATGAGACCAAGGGTCTTAAGTGGACCTATTCCGCAGTCACAATGGGTTGTCCAGAAGAGAATGAAGATATGCTATGGCTGAGCCATTGGTTGTTTGACAACAATGAATTGGAAGGCGGTGAAGAAGTACGTGTTTCAGTGGATATGGAGTATGGTTTCTCGAGAAAGGAGTTTGGAATCCAGCTTGTGTATGAGCAGGAAAATAAGGGTAAGGGTGTGCTATCAAATAGTGATCAAGATATAACAATCCAACAGGAAGCATCTCCTTGGAGGCAGAATGTGCTTGGTGGAGATGTGTCTGTGTCTGCTTCAAAGTATCAACTGCAGACGGGCAAATACTTTCTTTGTAATTATAAGGACCAATATCAATTCAGATTGAGCTCGGAGAACCCAGCTCATCTTGATTTTCAATAGGAGCCTAAGACCTCCTTCACCTTTTGTTTAGGCTGGACAATGATTCCGTTTGTTCTAAATATGAATTTTTGCACTGATCTTTATGTCATTGGCGGTTTGCAAACGATGAATTAGACTGGGGAAGAACAGAAGCAGCAGCTCCCTATACCCCTCGGGGGAAAACGTTTCATATTGTGTATGAAAGACGGATAGGTATGACGAGCTGCACCATAAGTTGGGACTGCGTTTTTTTTCTTTTATTTGAACAATTTTTTAAGTTATTATTATGTAAGGTGTTGCAAAGACGGATAGGTGTGAGCTGCACCATAAATTGACTGCAACTTTTCTTAGGCGCTGAACTATGCATGTGTGCCTATCGACGAAGATATTCGTATTTCAATGCCGGCTCAAAAAATGCCCATGAAACAATTCTCTAACAGCATTCACGTTGGAATCCCATGGCACTTTGGCAGTGTATGTTTGAGAAAATGCTCCTACCCCTTTCTAACTTTGACAAAAAAAGATTGAACATTTGCGTGAAAAAAAAAATTTAGTAGTAAACCAAAAGGAGAAAATTAAAAGCAAACCACAAGTACCAATTGTGACTTTTGGCCTTCTTTCTTAGCATTGAACTTTTCTTCTTCAGCTTCTCTGTTAGCATCTCCCGCCTCCTCTTCTTCATCAACTTTGCTTTCGAGCAAATGCTCAGCCATGTGGCCTTTTGAGTTTTACACCCTTTCAGATTCTTGGAGGCAGAGAGAGCGCAAGGTTTCAATCCAATTGAAATTTGAGCATGGCGGAGACGGAGAGCAACTATAATTATCAACTAAAGGTGGAGAATGCACAACATTTAATTTGAGAGAATGGTCCCAAATGGTCCTCATTAGCTCTGACTTGAAACTTTCATGGAGATAACTCATCCACATTGACTTTGACTCCACTTGGCTTTAGTTATGTCCATCTTTCTTATATCTTTATCTGTTTTACATTTGTATAAATTAATATTTGTTTTGGATCAAAATGAAACTCACATGAGTCCACTGGCTGTTGTTTTTCATTTATATTCTTAGTATATTATTCGGTCATACACATTATTTAACTATTCATCAAGTACTTGACCACTTTTTCCAGTAACTAGTTTTCACTCCATGAATCATTTAGTCAGTTTGTTTGAACATGTAAATTTCCATTGGCATCACAAGTGAGCATACTATAGTCCATTTATTATCTATATTCTTGAATGACCATATTTTTCATCCCTGCAATTTAGTCTAACTCTTAAATTTTCAAGTAGTTAATGTTGAAAAATATAAAGTCCCACATCGGAAACTTGATTAAATAAATTATAACTTATAATAAGTGGTTCCGCTCATAATAACACCAAGTTCTTTTATGATAAAACCTTACACTTACTACGCTTTGTAAGTGGTTAAATTGAGCACAATATCGGTGTTGCTAGTAGTAGACCGTTGGCTCGTCTCTCTGAAATTCAACATGGTATCAAAGCGTCCCTTGTTTCAAAATGAAAAAAAAAACAGAAAATAGTATAAATTTATTAGTTTCTCCCTTAAACTTCAAAATGCACCAATTTTGTTTATCCGTTCTTACAGATGTCCAGAATTAGATCATTCCGGTCACAATTTCGGATGGAGTTTTCTGAAGTCATATAAATTATGTTCCTTTCTTCCTCATTTTACGTTACATATAGAGGAAGCTTCGTCTTCAATACATCTCTCGCATCTCAGTGTGAAAATCGAGATCACAAATGTTCAGTGGCTGGTGGGGCAATAGACACTGACTTTGTTACTATATCACTTTCGTCATTAACTTTTTGACTTTGTCCATGCGTTCCTGTTTTTCTTATCTTTATTCTGTTCTCTTTTATAGAGCGTTCCTTGTATCAAAATGAAAAAAAAACAGAAAATAGTATAAATTTTAGTTTCTCCCTTAAACTTCAAAATGCACCAATTTTGTTTATCAGTTCTAACGGATGTCCAGAACTTGATCATTCCGGTCACAATTTGGATGGAGTTTTCTGAAGTCATATAAATTATGTTCCTTTCTTCCTCATTTTATGTTACATATAGAGGAAGCTTCGTCTTCAATACATCTCTCGCATCTCAGTGTGAAAATCGAGATCACAAATGTTCAGTGGCTGGTGGGGCAATAGACATTGACTTTGTTACTCTATCACTTTGGTCATTAACTTTGTGACTTTGTCCATGCATTCCTGTTTTTCTTATCTTTATTCTGTTCTCTTTTATAGAGCGATATTTTTTTTTTATCTCAAACACAAACACAAGCTGAACATACAAATGGCTGCTACCAGCAAGCAGCAGGATGCTTCTCCGTCCTCTCACCGGTGCACTTATGATGCATTCTTGAGCTTCAGGGGCACAGATACACGCAAGGGATTTACTGATCACCTCTACAGGGCTTTGGAGGTGGCAGGGATCCACACTTTTAGAGATGATGATGAAATCGAGAGAGGAGCAAATATTTCAGCAGAGCTTCAAAAAGCAATACAAGAGTCTCGAGTATCCATCATTGTCTTCTCCAAGGACTACGCTTCCTCGAGATGGTGCCTGGATGAACTAGTCACGATCATGGACCGTAGAGAAACTAATGAGCACATGGTTATGCCGATTTTCTATGATGTGGATCCATCCCATGTCAGGAACCAGACAGGAATTTTTGAAGAAGCATTTGCCAGACACCAACAGCGCTTCAACAAGGAGATGGACAAGGTGGAGAAGTGGAGAAAAGCTCTCAGAGATGTTGCAGATTTGGGAGGGATGGTTTTAGGAGATCGGTACTTTTTCATTCCCAAAATGGTGGTTTTCACTCTATCTTGGATGCTTTTTAAAGTAGATTAGTGAAGCTTTTTCTTTAATCTCATGGAGTTGTTAGATGGCAGCACTTCTGTTTTGAAAATTCATTTGCTTAATATCATTCATTTCAACCTATGATATATATATCAATTCTCTTCTATAAAATAAAAATAAAAATAATAAAGAAATAAGTTTCTTTTTGTTGGAAAGAAATAACTTATTTTGCATTGTGTATTTTTTATATCAATAATTTATAGGTACGAGTCGCAGTTTATCCAAGATATAGTTGAAGTTATTGGAAATAAACTGGATCACACATGGAATAGGAGATTAAGAGTCGATCCCTATGTAGTTGGAATAGATGATCGTGTGAAAGGCCTAAACATGTGGTTAGAAGATGGATCAAGTGATGTTGGAGTAGCTATAGTCTCTGGGATGGGTGGAATTGGCAAAACCACCATTGCCAAGACTGCTTATAACAAGAACTTCTATAAATTTCAAGGTAGCAGCTTTCTTGCAGATATTAGAGCAACTTCAAAACTTCCCAATGGTTTGGTTCACTTGCAAAGGAACCTTCTTTCAGATCTCCAAAAGGGGAAAGCAAAGAAAATATACAGCTTGGATGAAGGAATAACAAAGATCAAACGGGTGATACGTTGCAAAAGAGTTCTTATTGCTCTTGATGATGTGGACAACTTGGAACAATTCAATGCAATTCTTGGAATGCTAGAATGGCTTCATCCAGGAAGTAAAATAATCATAACAACTAGACATGAACATTTGTTAAAGGCTCATGAGAATTATGCAATGTTTAAGGTGGAAGAGTTGCATGAGTATGAATCACTTGAGCTTTTCAGTTGGCATGCCTTTAGACAACCCCATCCTGGCGAAGGTTACATGGATCTTTCAAGACCTGTAGTGCAACACTGTGGAGGGGTTCCATTAGCTCTTCAAGTTCTAGGATCTTCTCTCTTTGGAAAAGCTGCAGATGTATGGAAAAATGCATTACAGAACTTAGATGTGATTACTGAGGGAAAAATTCAGAAGATTCTCAGAATAAGCTTTGATTCTCTGCAAGATCATGACAAACGTCTGTTCCTCCATATAGCCTGTTTCTTCATAGGAAAAGACAAGGATTTTTCAACTACAGTCCTTGATGAATGTGAGTTTGCCACAAACATTGGAATTCAAAATCTGGTTGATAGATGTCTGCTGATAATTGATGGATTCAACAAGTTAACCATGCACCAATTACTTCAAGACATGGGAAGGGGAATTATTCGCGAAGAATCGCCCGAGTTTCAACAAGTTAACCATGCACCAATTACTTCAAGACATGGGAAGGGGAATTATTCGCGAAGAATCGCCTGAGGATCCTGGAAAACGTACTAGAGTGTGGAATAAAGATGCTTCTAATGTTTTGAGAAAATTAACTGTAAGAAATATCTTCTTTTATGTCTATGTATTCGTAATTGTGTTGTGCATGTGACAAGTTACTTACCCAATGTTCTTATTTGTTACCAGGGTACAGAAACTATTAAGGGCCTCATGCTCAACATTCCTATGTTAATAAAAGATGAGTCTTCTAAGATAATATCCAGTGGAAGTAACAGAAAAAGATTCCATGTGGAAGATTATGATGGAAACTGTTCAAGCAGCCGACGTCGGCTTGGTTTCTTCTCCTGGCAGTCAATTAGTTTTTCTTCAACAAACTCATTTCCTGTATCAAATGAGATGGGTTTCAAAACAGAGGCATTTAGAAGGATGCACAATCTTGAACTCCTGCTGCTTGATAATGTAAAAATCAGTGGAGGCTTTGAAGATTTCCCAAAAAATTTAATATGGTTGTCTTGGCGAGGATTCGCTTTAAAGTCAATACCAACCAATTTTTACTTGGAAAATCTAATTGCTCTTGACTTGCGGAACAGCGGCCTCCAACATGTTTGGAAGGGAACTAGGGTATGCTACTAATCTCTCTCT